ATGGATAACAGAATGTCAAAATGGTATCGATACCAAAAGGGAGTATCGGTACCATAGTGTAGTAGTATCGATACTGAGAGAAAGGTATCGATATCATAGTATAGAAGTATCGATACCATGGTAGGGGTATCGATACTATGGAGTCTAGAACTATAAGATAGGTTGAAATTGTTATAGAAATGTAAATAATAGTACTTGTGAATATTATTAAAGTATAAATGTTAGGAAATATACTAAAAATTGATATTGTATGTGTCTTTAATGGATGCTTAAGTAGATCGAAATCAAGCTTTCGAGTCAAGCAAAACGAAAGGCAAAGGCAAAGTAGCTAGGTAATCAGAATTTTCCGTTTTGGATATAATAGCAAGGCAAGCCAGTTGAGTGCATTTATTATGTACATTAAGAGTTATAAATATATCTTGTTAAAAGTGTATATTGCAATGCTATATTAGTACTATGTTTACTACATGCACTATGTGCGGAATTCATCATGAGTTGATGAACAACCGTACATGCACTATGTGTTCAATTCATGGAATTCATCATGAGTTTATGAACAACCGTACATGCACTATGTGTGCAATCCACGGAATTCATCATGAGTTGATGAACAACCGTACAGGCACTATGTGTGCAATTCACGGAATTCATCATGAGTTGATGAACAACTGTACAAGCACTATGTGTGCAATCCACGGAATTCATCATGAGTTGATGAACAATCGTACAAGCACTATGTGTATAATCCAAGGAATTTATCATGAGTTGATGAACAACCGTACAGGCACTATATGTGCAATCCATGGAATTCATCATGAGTTGATGAACAACTGTAAAGGCACTATGTGTGCAACCCACGAAATTCATCATGAGTTGATGAACTACCGTATAGGCACTACGTGTGCATCTTAATAAAATGAACATGAATAGAAAGTTGGTAAATTACAGTATTAGCACTACATGTCCAAATTTATAAGGTTTATAATGAATTGAAAGAGTTAATTGATATTATGAATAATTATTAGAGTAAAAACTGCTCTAAAATAAAAGACTAATGCCTAATTGTACATTTGGCAAAAAGGTGCCAATAATGCAAGTCAGAAGAAAGGTTAAATGCCTTTAGGATAAAAGACTAATGCCTAACGGTGCAATTTGGCAGATAGGATGCCATAAATGAAAATGTATAATAGTGCATAATTGGCATGAAATGATGACACAAATAAAAATACATAGCGGTATATTAATGGTATATAAGGTGTCGCTCATGAAAATTATAAAAGATAAAGGACCATTTGGCACTTTGGTGCAATACATGTACAGTACTTTCTCATTTAACGTACATAAGGAAAATAAATAATAATTGGGAAAAATATACAGAAGGATAGGTATGCTGGAACTACTAAAAATTGATTTCGATGATTATATGAAAGAAAAATATGGTTTAACTGAGAAGGATTTATCTGATTCTTATGGAGTATGCGATTTAATTCGTCATTAAATAGTCATGAGATACTTATGTATAAATTGCAGATTCTTTACAATATTATGTCTCACTAAGTATATACTTAATGTGTGTTGATTTCACACATAGGTAACAACAAAGACTAGTCGGGTACTGGGAGTAGGAGCAACTATCATCAATCTAAGGTTGACTCTCATCAGTAACAGTAGGACAATCACGTTATTTTGAAAAATTACTGGCATGTAATCGAAATTAGGAAAATTTGATCTAGAATGTATTTGAAGTGATAACTTTGGTAATAGGTTTCAAACACTATTTTCTAGTTGTATAAAAATGTTTTTGGTTTTAAATTTCAAAACAAAATTTTAAGGGTTTCCAAATGAAAAATTGTTTTAAAAGTGACGTGACATCTATATCTCGTGTATGGAAAGGTATACGGGATATGGGTGTTATATTACGAGTATCATTTTAAGTTATTTTAAGAACTTTTCTTGACTAAGGGAGGAGAAGTTCCTTAGAAATTATTAGAGCCTTTTGAAAAGTTCCTTAGAAATTCTTGGAGTCCTCTAAACATGATACATATGATAACTCTCTAAAAGAGTTATTATTTAGAGACTTTTACTTAGGTTAAGCTTGAACTTTAGCATGTTTAGGATCACATTTAGAATAATTTTAGCATATTTTACATCATTTGCGTATTAGGAGAGAATTGTTGATACTTGGGCTGATTTTGATGATTTTTCTGTGACTTTGTCTGATGCTGTAAGTATTGTTGCGAGCTGATACGAGACTGAATTGTTGAGTCGATGCTATAGCAATCGAACTGTCACCAGGCAGTTGAATATTTTTAGGAGTGGATAAGCCGTTGCGAGATAAAGACTAGAATTTAAATTTAAAGAAGGAATTTTAAGGAAAAATGAAACTTTCTTATTGGTGGAAAGTCTTACCTTGATGGGCTATAAATATATCATTTTTCTACACACTTTATTAATCATTGGAAACCCTAATTTTCATAGCGACCTTTTATTTTTCTATTTTCTCACCGTCCATGGAGGTTTAAACACACCGACGGGAAGTGCAGCAACAGATGGGGAGCAACACCATGTAGCAACAGTGGTCAATCAGGATTCAATCAAGTTTTGTAGTTCTTACTTGAGAAAGTAAAATACTATTTGATAAGATTGGATGTTTAAATTTACTGTTTTTATTTGGATTTCAACACAAGATGTTTGATGAAAAGTTTTTCAATTTGATTTTGCTTTTATGAAATGGTTATGTTCTTGGGATTTCTTGGAAACTGATTTTAGAAATAAAAATGTCTTATGTGTGTTTAATTTTGGTTATTTTTAGAGATAGAAATATTGAGATTGCATGCTACTTAAGACGTCGGTTATTATGAGAGTAATGTTTAATGCAAAGAGATTTGTGTTTTCGATTTCTCTGCTTTAATTGACAACTAAATTAATAGATTTTTTTAACTTTTGAAATCAATGCAATTTAGTTCATTTTACATTCTTCACATTTTACAATTATTTCGATTTGATCCCTTTGTGTTGTTTAATTTATTTAAATTTTTATTTGTAATTTCATATTTGTTCAATTTAGTTCTTAAAATTATGTTTGCATCTGAAATTGGCCCATATTTATTACTTATTTATACTTTTTAATTGGCCCATAACTTTTTAAATTGGTATAATTTAGTAGTTTTTTGTATTAATTTAAACCTCACATTTTAAAATTATTTCAATTTGGTCCCTCATCAATGTGTGTTGTTTAATTTAATTTAATTTTTACTTGTAATTTCATATTTGTTCAATCCAGTTCTAAATTTTTTTTTCTTAAAATTGATCATTGATTATTTATATTCTTAGTAATTTACTCTAAATCATATGCAATTACAAATTGTAATTCAACATTTGCAAAAGACAAAAATAATTAATCCAAAAATAAAAATTGACCCGATTTAAACTCAATTCGTATCTGATAGAGATCCGACCTGAATTTTATCTGCCAATGATGTGACTCGATCTAAACGAGATCCACATGAAGTCCATCCAAACCTGAATTAACCTAGTCTTTACCTACTCCGGACCTGAATTGTTTTGACCTGAACTGACGTCGATCTGAACTGAAAGTAACCCGACCTAAACCCGAGCTGTACTGGGTGTTAAATCAACCTTAAAATGACCCGACCTGATTTGACCTAGATCCGACCTAATCCGAGTCGAAGCATCAAATTTACCTGACTTGACATGTATCCGATTTTACCCGATCTGATAGGATCCGAATGAAACCTGGACGATTACCTGATTTTACATCCCTAGTTGAAACTATAGGTGAGTCTCCCGGTACAAGTTACTATTTGTAGAAGTCATCTAGTAATATCACAGCTGTTGTGAATCTTATCCTTGAGTTAATTTTCAACCTTTATTAGTAGTCAGTTAGATCACTTGGTCTCAGTAGAATTTTGAAACACTATATCATTGGATTTTGATTTACTTTCATGTTCTTACTTTACCTTGCACTTTACATTACCTTTATTTACTGTGTTTAATTTTTGTATTTACATACATTTCAGGCAATCGACAATCAACAATTGATTCAGTGTTGCACCAATCTCTGTGGGTTCGAAATCCGATATTTCTGTACATAACTATTTTATTACTTATTTTGACATGTGTATGCTTGCACAATAATAACATCCTATTTTACCAGCAATCAATTCTTATTTTGAATGATTTGTTTAAGTGATTGTTCTTTGAATATTTGTTAAACTAGATTCGTTTTTTGTATTAATATAATTTGGATCTTGTTTTTAAGCTTTCATCATCGCTTGTTTAATCTTAAGTATCAAGAGATCTTGAGAAAGTGTTACTATATCAAGAGAGTTGCCACCACATTGATGGAGTTGGCCATGAGTCTGCATATGAGAGTTACAGGCTGAGAAATCGAGTGGCGAGTATTGACGCCATCTCTACCAAGAACTAGGCAACACGTCAAGGCACCGGGAAGTTAGTGACTTGCATGATTTTGTCGTTGAGAGAGGGAAACTCCTAGATGCTACGTTGATTGTCAATGCAGAACTTGGTGCATCATTGAAATTATACCTGTAATGATCAAGCAACAATGAAAATGTATCATTGTTAAACATCATTAAAAAAAAGAGGGAAAGAGAATATCAAAATTGGTGTAGTCGATGAAGATGGATTCAACCATCGCAGTAACATAATCTTCTTTGGTGGGTCTCAAGGCTTCAAGCCGTTTCGGAGATAAAAGTTCCAGCGTGCAGACTTTCCATGCCTTAACGTAGTGAGGTCCATAATCAACCCATACAAGGAGTTAAATCATCGGTCTCGCTTGCCAGATCAGCCGATTAACTTGCCACGTCAGAATTCTGTCACTCCTAATAACATTTGTTAACTACGAATACTGATTTGTTATAAATCAATAACATTAGTGACCAAATGGTTATTTTTGTAACATTAGTGGAGAAAAGAGAAACTTATACATAAGTAACCATTTATGCAGTTTACCCGATATAAAACTTTTCATTAGCATAAACAACTATTCTTTAACTACAAACCAAAATGTTAATACTAGGGACAAGGGAAAGCTAAGATTTTACCAACTCTACAAAGCCATGCATTTTAACTAGAAAATCTTATATAAGTTCCAATGGCTTTTGAGTTTCCCCCCTCGTCTGATATTTTCTGCCCCAACCTCTGCACAGATCAGCCATCAACAAAAAAGGAAACAAAGACAACACAACAGCAAAAGATATGATCAATTCCGGCAGAGGTGGTAGCTTAACAGTTATTATCGTATCAAGGGAACTCCATTTTCTTTCAGCTCCCACGACCTTCAGACTTCCTTGCAAGTTGGGTTTTGGTTGAGAAATTCTTGCACTTGTCCCATCAAAATTCCAGCCGGCCAATTGATCCACTGTTGGGTGAGGCAGCCTAGAGCTTGAGTACAAGGCTGATAGGGCAGTGATCACTACCGATGACATCAGGAAGAATATAGGAATCATGAACGTCATCAGCTATGGCTTCTGAGACTAGGAAGTAGTCAAGCCTCCATCCTGTTCCGAGAAATAAATATTTTAACTAAGTAGGTGATGGAAACTGATCACCAGTAACAATTATATTAATCGCAATAAAAAATATTTGTAACGTTTAGATGCAACTTCAAAACAAAATTCACCCATTCCAACACAAAATGAATGCATAAATAAATACTGGATGATCAGAAGTACAAGACATACATTCAAGTCATAAATACTTGAAACTACCTCAATAACCGAAAAAACGACACAAAAAATGATCTTATAAATGAAGAAAGATTAAAGAATATGAGGTTAATATAGGATGTCTCACCTTTGTTAGTTTTGCGCCCACCATGCCGATAACCCCAATAAGTATACCCAACAACACCTGGATGCTGCTTTCTAAAGGTGTCAACAAAGCCCCTGGATAAGAAGTTTGTGCCAAAAGATTGCCTTTCTTCAATTGTAAACCCAGCATTCTTTTGTTTCCCTATGTTCAAAATTTTCAAACTATTACGACACTTCAATGAAAAAAATAGTTGCATCTCCGATTTGCAATAGGCATAACAAGCATTATGATACAGTTATTGATGAGGCTGAATTTAGCATTTTTCAGACACTCCTGAATCCTGATGCATTGAGGAACCTTCCTATACTGTAATGATCACCAATATCGAGCGGTTTATAGACAGACAAAGCTCTTTTGTACTGCATTTTTTTGCCTTGACAATTTGAAGGTAAGAGATGGCTTGTCTCACCCTTAATGTTTCTGGGTTTGGGTAACTCCGAATTAAAATGTAAAATCAAGGAAAAGAGAGGTAATTTCATAATTCTTAGACAATTCTGTTGTCCCCTGGATAAGGGGTATCAAATCAACCTTATTAATCAGCACTGAGACAGAAGGAACTTGTAACGCTAGTCAATAAAATATTGCTTTAGTTGCTTAAAAAATATTTTCTCATATTGGTTAGGCTACTACTCAAATAAAATACAACTATAATGGAAACATCAAAATCTTGATTGACTTACAGCCGGATTATAAATGTCTATCTCTTCATGTGCACAATTCAAATCCCCCGTCAAAATGACTGGCTTTGCCTTTTCCAATTCCTGCATCATACAAGGAAGTAGCTGAAGCATCAAACCTCCAAAAAAAGGAAAGTAAAAAAAAATATATGTTGCAAAAACAATTTTGGAAATTAACAGAAACTCCCTTAAAAGATAATTACAAATTTACTATAGCTACAATATGGTAATAAGGTGGTGCCCCATCACATGGAGTCTTTGACATGCAAAACAAGAGGGACTGAATAGGCAGGGAGAAAGATAAGGCAAAGAGAGAATGGAGATTCGAGAGAAATCACTGGGAAATACGGGTGCTAGTGGACAGAAAATTAAGAGGAATGATAGTGAAAAGGATATGGAAATAAGTCTCAGCAGTATACAATTCGGTGTTAGCATGTGCCAAAGTAACCTGAAATTACCGTATGCACTTAACAACTACACAAAAAAAGCAAACCTATTCAATACAAAGACTTAAAATACCTAGAGAATTAATAAAATTAAATAAAATTTAAAAACTGAAAAAATGAATCAGAATTTAGTTAAAGATCAAGCTTGGAAAGGGATTCTGTAAATAGTTTTCTACAATCCCTTATTTTAAGGGATCATATCTCCTAGGATTAATATCTTTTCTTACTTAGAGTTTCCTAATTTAGAGAGATGATTTGTATATAAAGATGCAATACGTCCTATTGAATAAATAAGAAAATACATAGAATTACTCTGATTTCTACATGGTATCAGATTAGGTTACGGTTTCTTTCCAACCTAGACCATGTCCGCGACTTCTTCTCCTACATCTCTTTCTCCTACTCCGGAGATCACTTCAAATCCAGAAAATCTTTCTAGTTCTGATGCTCAATCAGATTCATCTGGTCTGACTATCACCTTCCATCGATTGAATGGCAACAACTTCCTTGAATGGCCCCAATCGGTTAAGATTTTTCTCTTAGGCAGACACTATTTTTGCTAAGTGGATGAGTGACAATGGTCAGGTTATGACTTGCCTCCTCAATTCCATGACCCCAAGTATCAGCAGAAACTTTCTTTTGTACAACACAACCACTGAAATCTGAGTGCAGTTCGCGAAACCTACTCTTGCATTGATAACATTGCCGAATTATATCATATTGAAGATCAGACAGCCACCCTTAAGTAGGGAACCATGCCTGTCACTCTCTACTACAATACCCTTATCGCCCTTTGGTAGCAATTAGATTTGTATGCACAACATGATTGGGCAAATCCAAGAGATGCTACCCTTTACCAGCAAATTGTCACTCAGCAAAGACTTTTTCAATTTCTCCAAGGCTTAAATAAGGACCTGAACGAGGTTCGTGGCAGGGTTCTGGCTATTTCTCCTCTTCCCTCACTTCGAGAGGCTTTCTCTATTGTCAAGAAAGAAGAAAGCTGCAGGTGTGTGATGCTGCCTGATGAACCATATTCGCCTCCTGAAGGATCTGCCTTATTCACAAATCAATCATCTCCCACTTCCAAACGAGGGAGACCTTGGTGTGACCATTGCAAAAAGCCCGACCACTCCAAGGAGAAGTGTTGGAAGCTTCATGGTAAACCTCAGGACTGGAAGTCCAAGAACTCTCACGATAATAAATCAAGCCTAGTCGCTGCCACATCTGTCACTAGCTCCACCAAAGAACAGATTGCTGAACTTCACAAACTGTTTGGAAAGTTTCAGGGGCCTTGTGAGGGTAATTTGGTCATGAAAGAACCAAAAGGTAACCCTTATGCTACAACTTTTTTCTCCTCCCAGTTGACTCTTATTTGGATCATCGATTCTGATGCTATGGATCATATGACTGGTAACAAGGCTTTATTTTGTAATTTTCCCAAACTTTGGTAAAACTGTCAAAACGGTTGATGGTTCCTTGTGCAAAATAGAAGGACATGGCACTGTTGTTATCAATGAACATATTGCACTTAAAAATGGTCTTTTTGTACCAAATCTGGCTTGCAATCTCGTTTCAGTTAGTAAACTTTCCATCGACTTGCACTGCTCTGTAATTTTTACTAATATTGATTGTACTTTGCAAGCAATGAACTCGAAGAAGATGATTGGTAAGGCCAGCTTGCAGAATGGTCTCTACATTCTCCCTTCCTCTACTACAACTGAGATCTCTAAATCTTTCACCGCTTTAGAAAAAGTTGATAATGTTATGTTATGGCACTTTCGTTTAGGCCATCCTAGTTTCCATTATCTTGCAAAATTGTTCCCTGCTCTATTTATTAATAAAAGGCCAAATTCTTTTTTTTGCAAAGTTTGCTCTCTTGCCAAACACACTAAATCATCTTATTCTCCTTACATATACAAGCCTTTTCACCCTTTTGCTTTGATCCACAATGATATTTGGGGCCCTTCTCGGATAAAGAATGTTGATAATTGTTAGTGGTTTATCATTTTCATTGATGATCACAGTAGGATAACTTGGACTTATTTGCTAAAGATAAATCTGAAACTGCTGGTGCTTTTGCCCAATTTTATAACATAGTTCTCACTCAATTTGGGTCTAAAATCTAGCTCTTTAAATCTGATAATGACAGTGAATTTTTTGCTAAGTCTTTGGGTGATTTTTTTCAAGGAAAAGGGCATAGTTCAGCTTAGTTCTTGTGTTGGAACCCCACAACAAAAACGACATTGCCAAAAGAAAAAATAGACACCTCCTTGAAGTTACTCGTTCTCTTTTATTTACTACTAATGTTCCAAAACATTATGGGAGGAAGCCTTATTAACTACTACATATTTAATCAACTGAATGCCTAGTAAGATTTTACAATTTCAAACTCCTCAATCTATATTTTTGCAATACTTTCCCCATTTTAAACCTATCTCCTCCATTCTGTCACTTAAAATCTTTGGTTATACTGTTTTATCCAAAACATTGCTATTGATAAGTCCAAGTTAGATCATAAGTCTTTAAAGTGTGTACTGGTTGGGTATTCTTCACTTAAGAAGGGTTATAAATGTTATCATCCTCCTTCTAAACGATTTTTTTACCACTATGGATATAACATTTTATAAGAAGGATCCCTATTTCACTCAGGCTGAAATTCAGGGGGAGACGTGGAGGGATTTTCAGCCAAATCAGGTAACTCCTACTCTTCATTCTCAATCTTCAAAATTGCCACCATTTTTGCCTTTACCTACAGATTTGTCACCTGTAACTACTCATTGATTCATCTGTAATGCCTATCATTAATTCACCCAGACCTACTTTAAACACCCTTCTTGAAAATACACCTACTCCCATTAAAATTCTTCCAAAAACAACACCAATCAAACAAATTCCTGAGGTTGTTTTGCAATCTGATTCTTGCAGAGAATTGGATTTGGGTCCATCTGCCAAAATAGAAGAAGAAATTAGTAACTTCACTTCCCCTACTCTAGATGACTTCCTATTGCTATTAGAAAAAGGGTTAGACAGTGCACCAAGCATCCTATTGAAAAATTTGTTGGTTATAATTCACTGATGCCTTCTTTTCAAGCATTTACAGCATCCTTTGATAAAGAACATGTTCCTACAAGCATAGTTGAAGCTTTAAAGGATTCAAAATGGAAAAGGTTTGTTGAAGAGGAAATTTGTACACTAGAGAAAAATGCTACTTGGACCGTTACAGACATTCCTCAAGGAAAAAAGGTTGTTGGTTGTAAATAGATCTTTGCTGTAAAGTATAACTCCAATGGTAGTATCCAACAATACAAAGCTAGACTAGCCGCCAGAGGCTTTACGCAAACATATGGGATAGATTTCACATAAGCTTTTGCACCTGTGGCGAAGCTTAACAGTGTTCGAGTACTCCTAAGTTTGGCTGTAAATTACGATTGACAATTACCCCAACTTGATGTAAAAACGCATTTCTTAATGGTAAGCTAGAAGAAGTCTATATGAAATTGCCAACTGGTTTAAAGTCTATTGAAGGTAGCAACAAGGTTTGCAAGCTCAACAAGTCTCTATACGGGTTAAAACAATCACCCAGAGCTTGGCTCGATAGGTTCACTAAAGTCATTCTTAAAAACGGCCACAAGAAGTCCCTTGCCGATTATATTCTTTTCATCAAGGTAACTTCTACAAATAAGAAAGATATCCTAATTGTATACGTGGACGACATAATTCTTACTGGAGATTATGAAGAAGAGATTAGCAATTTGAAGAAGTTGTTAAATAGGGAATTCAAAACCATGGACTTGGGAAAGCTAAGGTATTTCCTAGGAATGGATTTGGCAAGGTCAAAAGGACTTGTGATCAACCAAAGAAAGTATGTACCTGATTTACTTAAAGAAATTGGTTTTCTTGGTTGTAAGCCGGTTGATTCACCAATGGAGGCAAACTTAAGATTCAACAAAGAAGATGGGTCCTTAGTAAACAAAGAGAAATTTCAAAGATTAGTTGGGAAACTAATTTACTTATCCTTGACAAGGTCAGATATAGCCTTTCCCGTAAATGTGCTAAGTCAACGCATGACTAATTCTACTGAAGAGCATATGACAGCAGTAAATAGAATTCTCAAGTACATGAAGAAAACTCCAGACACGACTTAATGTTTAAGAAGACACAAGACAAAACTATTAAGATTTTTACAAACTCTAGTTGGGTCAGAGATCTCACTGAAAGGAGATCCACTAGTGGCTATTGCACTTTTGTTTGGGGTAACCTTACAACTTGGAGAAGTAAGAAACAATCTGTCGTTTCAATAAGTAGTGTTGAAGTTGAATTTAGAGCACTAACATTGGGAATATGTGAAGGAATTTGGCTACTTAAACTACTAAAAGAACTTGGCACTAATCAAGAGGATCACTTTGAAGTTTTGTGTGATAACCAATCTACTATTCAGATTGCCAAGAACCCAGTTCAACATGATTGGACAAAGCATGTTGAGATTGATAGGCATTTTACTGTTTATCAAGTTAACAAAAAGACAGACACACTTTCATACATTCCTTCAGAAGGACAAATTGCAGAAATTCTTACTAAGGCTTTGCCAAAGTCTGTTTTCAATAAATTCCTATTCAAGCTGGGATTATACAATGTATATTCTCCAGCTTGAGGGGGATTGTAGGAATTATAGAGATATATGAGTTTTTACCATCCCTTCAGTTAAGGGATTCTGTAAATAGTTTTCTACAATCCCTTATTTTAAGGGATCATATCTCCTAGGATTAGTATCTTTCCTTACTTAGAGTTTCCTAATTTAGAGATATAATTTGTATGTAAAGATGCAATATGTCATATTGAATAAATAAGAAAATACAGAGAATTACTCTGATTTCTACAGATAGGATACAACAGAAAGACTTTTGTATAACTAACAAATTAACAAAATAAAATTACTAACAAGAAACAAGCATAGAAAAATACAACAATCTTTTTTCATTCTTATCCAAATGTACAAGTGATATGTCAAAAGTTACTACAATTAGGAAGAAGGGGGACATGAACTCAACTCCTTGAGAAAGAAGATAAATGCATGCACCAACTTCTGAGCCAAATGCTAAGGTAAATCAAAATATATTCACATTATCCTAATCTGAATAGCGAGTGAAGGGGTGTAGATGAGAAAGCAAGATGGGGGAGGGGGTGTTCTTTAAACTTGCCAGTATAGGGCAAAATTTGGAAAACAAAAAATAATTAAATAAGTAGAAGAAAATTTCAGGGGTAAATGAAATAGGTGAAACGTAAGCATGCTTACTTTTATGTAATTGCTAAGAGATGGATCCCATTCTGTAGTCCTATATGTCTGGAATAGAAATAAAATGCTTCAGTCTAATAGTTGAAAAATCAAATATAAAAATGGAAAACTTCAAGAAAGTTGGCAAGTAACATAGGAAAGGGGATTAAGCCCTTTACCAGCCTTCTCAAGCCATCCCCAGAATTGGGAACATAGACACTTAACAAATAAAAAGAGTCGAACTCTGCTGTCACAACCCGTCCTTCACTATCATGATCTGATATGCCCAGGCCATATCTGACTGAAAGTGGCTTTATCTGTTAGAAAACTGCTAACTTTTAACAGCAGACAATAAAACAGCAAGGAAATGAAAACAGAAAACTTGACAGTTGATACTTTAATTTTGAAAGGTCAAGCTCCTAACAACAGTACAGTAAACGTGGACAGACATTCCAGTAACCAAGGAAAGCATAAGATTGAAATGACTTCCATTGATTAACGCTTGCTAAATGGATAAAGTCAAGTTTGATTACTCTTCACCTTTCAGATAGCTTTCTGTAGCATGTTTTAAAGTCTCATTTCATCATTATAGCCGAAGGGTAGCTATGTACAAAAAAATTTGAAATTGTGTTCTTTAAAGCGGTAATCTGCCAAGTATATTGGCAATTTTTCAATGTTTTAATGTACAAGACAATCATTTTCAAACTTCAGGAATATATTGCAAAACAATGAAACTAGCAAATAAGAGTATTACGTTAAGAACAACCTTGTTTGACATAGTGCCACTAGATCCTAATGTAATGCAAGATAGGTATATAAAATGGTGGTATAATTTCTATGCAAAAGTGAAAAATATTCTAAGGACCACGTATAAGATAAGCCTCTTTGAATCCCCAAAAAATCTGGCATACCCGAGATATTATTGCAGTGCCAGAATAACCAAGTTTTGCATTGCTACAAGTCCAGAAGCTATTCTCATATCCTTCTATGAGAGACTGTTTGATTGACTCGACATCTTTCTCCTGTTCCAAGATTAAATTGTGCACTCAGAATATCAAGAATTTTAACGCGTCATTACTTAAATTTCTATGTAAAATAAATAATCTCAAAAGGACACAAATTCATAGTCAATCCAGCAGTCTCAAACACACAAGCACAATGCAAAAAATATTTAATGGCTTAATCTAAGGGCTGAATTTTCTTTCTGAAAGAAATTAATGTTCTCCAACTTATCTCGGAATCTAGTGCATCCATGACCAAACCAATCTTTCTCAGCTTGTCATCATAGGAACACTCTGAGAAGAAAGCTAGTATTACGTGGCCAGATTGAGTCAATGTAAAAAAGAGAGAGAGAAATATAGAAGTACTTAACTATTTAGTTGAGAAGGTTTGCTCATTCTAAGTTTCTAATGCTTTTTAAGCAATTAAAATTAGGGGTTACACTGCAAAATGACTCAAATGCATATGAAAATGAGTCTTAGGCGTCAAATAGAATCAATGGGCAAGAAAATCCCCAAGGCCACAGCTAAAGTCAAAGGTGGAAAAAATCAGTATCTAACATAACAATCAGAAATGTATAACACCTATCAAAAGGAAGAACATCTTAGCAACCACTCTTGAATTTATCAGCTATTGCTGTAACTATGTTTGGAGATAGCAATTAAAGATGCAAGTGTAGAATCAAGAGCTACAGTAGAAAAAATCTAGTTACAAAATAATGCAGAGATCATAGTAACAAAGAGACTTTTCAACGGAACTATTGATACCATATTGAAATTTTCTTAGCAACAGAATGATAAATTTATATACATGCCTGAAGTTTAGTTTCTTGCAAACATAATATATCAAAGTTTTCCCTTTTGGCAAGTTCCAGAGCAGAAAATCCTTCTAGTTTCAGCAATGCTCTAAGCCCATTGACATTCCAAGACAGAATCTTAACAAACTCTGTATTCTCCTTAGGAGGTGTTCGTCTCATAGTTCTAGGATTATATGCTATCCACCCTTTTTGCGGCTTCTTATGGGCCAAAATAGTCCATGGTTCGCTTTGATTCACGGGAGTAACTTCATTTTCAGCACTAACATCTTTGCTATCAATGTCTAAAGGTGATTTCCTCTTTGTTAGAGAATTCTTCCTACCTAGTCAAAGCAAGGTTCAGAAAACAATAACCCATCCTTCTACTCAAATTAAAGTGAGAAAAGAATAGTTCTGTAAATAAGAACAGTATAAGCATTACTGCTACATATAAATAAATTTTCTGCGGTACCTGAAGCACAAGTAGTTTTCTTCTGCTCGGTGGCAACAATTTTATCATCAACATCGACAGTTTTGCCCTTAATTTGCAACTGTTTTACAGTTTTCCTGCTCCGTTGAACCATGGAAACCTTAGAAATAGTGTTAACATCTTGGACTTGGTCTTCTACTGATTTTGTCTCCATCATCATAGATATTTTTGTATCAGAACCAGAGGGATCTAGTTTGTCTGCCAAAAGAGAACTTTCACCTGAACTTGTAAAGAATTTCTGAGATAAGGAAAGGAAGCTTGGAAGAACAGCTAATTGTTTTAACATTAAAAAAATAATAATAATTTTTTCATGCATGATGTTTGCATCTTTCATCTGAAGATTTGAACATTGAAGTACATATCGAATCTTAACTTCCATAGAAAATTGCATACCATCTATTTCCTTGGCCAAATAAGACTGTAAAGCAGATACAAGCTCACGTTTCAAACCTTTGGAAGGGATCCCGACAGTCCTATAAATTAAAAGTAGTGACAACAACTTTCAATAAAAACAAATATAAATTACTGTTTTCAAAGATCAATTAAACCCCCTAAACAGGTTTCAAACAAAGAAGTCAATATTACATATTTCATAAGTAGCTTTGCATGGAAGGAACAATAAAATTTAAAAAAAAAAGCAACTAGTTCAAGTTTTTCACATTAACTATTACAGCACATTAACTTTATTTTTGGGAAAAAATTCTTTCTGAATCAACATGAAACGGTAGCAGATAAAGCATAAAGTTTTTCCCCTAAATGAAACATGCATAACCAACTGAAGTCAATACATAATATAGAATGCAAAAACATCAATCAAAGGTATAATATCAAATGCTTTTATATGTAACACGCTTGAAATTTATTCTTTACCTCAATGCAGTTCTAAGTTGTTGAACTGTCATTGCCTCGATTTTGCCTGGATCATCCTTGATATTCTGCAACTCAACCAAATTTACATCTACCTTCTTTAATTGCCATCAAAATATATAACCAAAAATAAAATAAATAACCTTTAACTCAAATATGACATAGAATTAAGGATTAGATTACCCATTAATCCTAGTTTATCTTTACTACACTTGCTAATTTAGTTTTCTAACCACTTTTATTTAAACCTACAATTAAAGTTATGCAAAGCAAATTCATATGAAGTTAAAAGAAGAAACCTTGAGAAGCGGGCTATTAGAAATGGGGTTGTCGTAGTCTATCGCTTCATTGAGTTTCTTATCAAAGTTTTGGTCGGAAATGGAGGATGAATTCGAAAAGCTTCTTCCCTTAGAACCCATTACTTTGCCTCTTAATGGAGTCAATCTTTCAATACCCAAATTCTTAGGGACCACTGCAAAGCTACACCTTGTTCTGTCAGTTTAAATTTCTAAAAGGGGAAATTAATCAGAGAAAGAGAAAGAGAGAAAACCTCGAAAAAATGACGATAGTTCTAAAACCTAGTTGCAATCCTTGGTTCATCTATGGAACCCAATTTCAGAGGATGGGAAGTGTGGTGGGATAGGTTAAGCAGGCGAGAAGCGCAGTTTAGCAATTAAATCGCCAAAATAAGCTTTAGCCTTTTCGTGATTGGTCCTCCGAAAATATGTAGTAGTGTTTATAACATTATGAAAATTGTCCGGGTACACGAAGTAACCTTAATCAAATGTTGTTATCCCATATATTTTAGATTTGAGTAATTATATTTATAAGATATGTGTTGTTAATTAATTAAAAAAATTATAAGATATGTGTTGTTAATTAATTAAAAAAATTATGAAGATATACTAATCATCCTAATCCATTCAGGAAAAAAGTTGTCCATGTAAAATATAATAGTCATTAAATTATTTGGCTTATTCTACTTTGATTATCAAACTAAAAATCTTTCAATTTGGTCATCGATCATTAATTGGTAACGACATTGATAATTTATAAGTTGGTATAATAATATGTTTAGTCACCAATATTTATACATTTCAATAATTTGCTCTTAAGTATACTTGTATGTGACATTCATTCTCAGTAATTTCGTCAAGGGTGAAACAATGACAGAGAAACCATATTAACATTTGCTAATATCCAACTATCCCTAAAAACCTTCCAATCTTGAAAATGTTCTTAGGTTGGCTCAATTCTAAAATGGCATTAATCTTCTTGAAAGCAACACAAATACCTTATATTAATACTAGTGTCTTAGAAACATTACACTTTTTGACCATAATTCATATTTACTTTGTTCATCAGATCCATGAATACAACGGGAGCAATAGCCAATTCGAATGGCATAACTAAGAACATGCAATGGCCATACTGAGTCTTAAGGTGATCTTATGGACATTTAAATCCTTCACTTTCAATGATAATATCTTTATCTCATGTCAATATAAGAAAACATAATAACTCCTGTGAATTGGTCAATATATCATCAATCCTTGACAATATATATTTATTCTTGATAGTTAGTTTGTTCAGATGACAATTGTAACACCCTAAATCCATATGGGCCTAAAGTGTCACATTAGGATGTCGAGGCAACCACTAAAATTTAAAACATATTTCATTTCCATTTAAAACACATTATATTTAATAAAAGGCATTCATAACAATTATAAAAGACATTCATAACAGTTATAAACCAATTTACCCCTCTTGGCAATTTTCGATTGTTCAATTGAGCTTTACCGTAAATCCCAACAATTGGTATCAGAGCTTGACTCATTAGAAAGTCTAACAATCTAGAGATGTTCCTAGAAGAAGCTCTATCAATTCCCGATGCAAACAAGAAGATGGATTCCACCTCCAGCTCGTTCCACATGGAAGACTCTCAACCAATCGATAAGCTTTCATACTTTAATGGAGCTAACTATTGTCATTGGAAGAAATTATTGAAGCTATTCATCAAATCCAATGATCTTGATGCATGAGAAATGATCGAAAACAACTTCTCTTCTCCAAAGAAGAAGACGAAGGAGTTGAGTGCCCAAGAACGAAAGAACTCCCAACAAAATGCCAAGGCCATGTGCATGTTGTTTTGTGCATTTGGTCTTGATATCTATGAAGGTGTTTCTTCATGTTCAAATGCCAGGGAACTTTGGAATAAGCTCGAAGAACTTCTTGGAAACAAGAAAGAAGAACCAATAAAGGCGGTGTGCTTAATGACTCTTGAAGAGCCCGAGGTATCTTCTAACTCCAGTGAATCTAATTCTTATACTTTTAATGAGTTACAAGTTTCCTATGATGAGTTGTATTTGGAATTTGAGACCATGAATTCCAAATATAAGAAATTAATATCAAAAGTTAAAGTTGAAAATGACTTGTTTTAGAAAGAAAAAGTTGATTTTGAAAAACAAATTGAAAATTTGAAAAATGATTTAGAGCTTTCAAAGATCAAAATCAATGATTTAGAAAAAGAAAATTTTAATTTAAAAGTTATATTTGAAAGCTTAACAAAAGAAAAAGAATTAATTTCTAGAAACAACTCATTATTGTTTAAAAATGGAAAAATGCTCACAATGTAATTTTCATGGTCACAATATACATACTTGTCCTATAAAGAAAAAAAATCTTTTAAAATTAGACAATTATGGGTTCATAAGGGAACAAGGGACATTGACACTAATGTTCAAGGATCAAAAGCAATTTGGATACCAAAATTCAAATAAATATCTCTTGTAGGTGTGTGAGAGCAATGGTGATGAAAGTAAAGATACTCAAATTCTCTAGCCACACTTGTTATGGAAAGGGTAAACCCTAAGATTATTTTGATTATCTTGCATAATTGGTTGCTTATTTAGTTTAAGGATGCATGAGTTTTGATTTTAAATCATTTTATGTAACAACCCAAATTAGGGATCAAATTATGAGGTTTTGAAACTTATAGAAAATTTTAGGAAGTATAGGAAATTCATGGACCTAGTCCTAAATTTGCCCATTTTCTGTTAATGGTGAAAAATAAATATGGTTAAATGTTTTCCCCTGATTGGTAAGAACCAAAATCCCCAAAAATTTCCCCTAATTTCCCCTCAAATCCCTAACCCCCACTGAGTTTCTTTTCCCCCAATTCTATCCTCGTCTGACCACCTTAGTTGGTACCGCTACCCCCAAAATGATCGTCATCTCACCCTGACCGAAAGCCCTCTTACCCCTCACCGAGATCAACCGCTGTTCGACGGGATCGAACATATGAAGATTCGTCGAAACCCTGCCGCTGTACTTTTTCTTTTGATTCCGACTGATCCAAAGATCGTCTCGCCTCACCGCCACACCATTGAGTTCCCCAGCCTATTCCGCTCAAAACCCGACCGATATGTCACGTCAATATTTCCATTTTTGTCCGATTGCCGACGTAGGTAAACTCTCTGAACTTAATCCGATTATTTTATGTTGTTTTAGCTGAAATTTGATATGTTATGGGTTTAATTTGGCAAGTGATTGAACAGGGAGTAATCAACCGACCGCCCCAACCCCCGTCGCTGTCGTCACGCACCACAGTACACGTGGGGCTCGTTCTCCCACTCTGGTTTCTTTTAGAACTGGTCTGGACCGGTCTAAACCTACCCAACCTGACCTGACCCAAACCGATCAACCCGACCCACCTGCCCGACCCGCTTGACCCGTTTAACCGTTGACCCGTTTAACCATTGACTTTGACCAGTCTTACCATTGACTTTGACTTCTACTGAAAAAGTCAAATTTTTCGAAGAGCCCTATTTTATGTTTTTCGAAGTCCTGAGTCTGATGAAGTCCGTTTTGCTAAATTCGTACCCGATAAGTTATTTTTCAATGTTTTATCTTTGAATTCAAGTTGGTTTCTCATTTATGTTCAGTTTATGACGTAAATTCGTTTTCTTTGTGTATATGGAATTATTGGACATTGATTTCAAGTTTAAAAGTAATCGAGTGGAAATTAAATTTTCGATCTGTGGAGCATAAAAATCGAGGTAATACTCTGTTACCTTTTGTATGCTTTTCAGAACACATTGATAATTGGTAAATGCGTGGATGAAAATAATTGATCCATGAGATGTGGTTAATTATCATTGGAATCAAATTAAATTTGGAATAAAGACGGAACACTATAAAAAAAGACTAAGACGACTCGTAAAAGAAATTGCTAGACCGACCGAAAAAAATTCTAAGTTCAGTAATTTAATCATTAATCAATCAATCTTGAGACTCATAAATTCTGATTAATCTCGATAAAGGTTAAATGTTGGAAATATTGGAGAAGAAATTACCAAAAATAACATTACGGGGTAAAATTACGAAAAAACCCTTGTACTGGAAAAGGACCAAGACTTCACTGGATGGTGAAATATAACTCTAAAAGGATATATTTGACCAATTATAAAAAAAACCGCATATGATTTAATTGAAATGAATTACTGAAATGTCCTTGAACTTCGTAATAACTATAATAACGTTCATTGATCAAAGGAATTAGAATACTTGATGCCTAATATGTTAGAAGTAATGTCACTGACAGATTAGAATAAAATGACAATTATATGCTTAAATGGAAAAAAGCACAATGGATGGCTATGATAATGGAGATGACTTGAGAATTCATATCTTGATCAACTTGAACCTTGTAATTATCGATTTAAAATTTTGAATCTATATTGGAATGCCCTGAAGTGTAAAATGACACAAAGAAAGTCTAAGCACTGGAATAACTAAATGCCCTCTAGCTTTGAATTGAATAAATCAACTTCGGTTATCAAATTGACCTAGAATTTTCTATATTCTAAGATAACACCCGAAGACTGAATTATTGAAGGTACTTTACACGTTTGAATTTCTTGAAATGACTAAATTATATGACCAGGTCGACCTAAATGGAAGAACTGTATGCATCTGAAATTCAAAGATGATTGAATTACTCTGAAAACTTCGAGGTGATTTGCACAGACTTAACTACAAAATGACCTAAGTACCTTCGAATACCTAGAATTAAGTGAATGCCTTAGACAAGTTTGGAAACGTTGATGAACTTATATATACAACCCTTAAGGGTTTTAAACCTCAGATCAAACACTTCGACACTTATGGATATCATTACAATCAAGTTGGTAAATCCTTACAGACCTAAGACGACCCTTGGGTAAGTTCTGAGGCCTCGAGGATTTTCTTGGTAGGCCCTGAGAACTTTTTGGGGTAGGCTCTCAGGCCCCAGGATGCTCTCTTAGGTTGGCTCCTTATATCCAATGGGTATAAGATTGCCTTATGGATGCAGTTCTAGGGAACTGCATATAGTGTATGGTAGAGAGAAGTTATATGGTTTATTTCATTGGCACACTTACAAGATTTTACTAAATCACAATCCAGATATTACGGTTTAATGTTAAAACTGATTTCTACTGGATTCTATATGGGTAGGATTCTAGAGTATGGAGGTTCAACTCTGATTCAGCTGGTAAATCCTTACGGACCTAAGGTAATCCTTGGGTAGGCTCCGAGGCCCTGAGAAACTGTCTTGGATAGGCTTTCGGGCCCCAAGGCATTCCCTTAGGGTGGCTCCCTTTATTGTTGCTTAGGGTAAGCCCTTATGGATGCAGTTTTGGGAAATTGCATAATGGTGTTCGATTGGAGGGTTCCACTATGGTTTTGAAAAC